ACCAAATTCCAGTCTTTTTCCCTATTAAATTAAATATATTTAATTTTTTTTATTAATATTATAAAAAAAACAACTTACGAACATAAATATATACATTTAGGATTTGTTTGTAAATAAAATTCCTGGTTAGCATCTAATGGTCTTTTTTCAAAATAAAAATGATAATCATATCATGGTCCTCTAAAATTAGGTGAATCTGCTAGAATTGGTACTTTTTGTACTACACTGCCTATAACTCCATGCTGATTATTTTTTGCTCGAAATCTCTAAAAATCGATTCCATCATTGCAAAAATTAAATTGATCGATTTTTAAATTATAATGTTCACCACCCTGACAAGCTAAAAGAAATACATTATGAAAGAATACTCTTTTAATAAGAGTATCAGGTGTTAATATCGATGTTGCTGAATGTGATAAAATATCAGAGATATTTTGTTAAGTTAAAGCTGCAGATCCTTTTATTTTGCCAAGCCCTTTATCTTGTAATTCTTTCATTTTTCTATTAAGAACTTTTAATAAATTTGGAAATTGATGACGATTATGTAAATTAATATCACGAATAATTGAATATTCTATTAAATAGCAATTGATACCATCAACAGATTGACGTACAGATAAAGCTTTATATTTAGTGCCATCTTTTTTTTTCATAGTAGCAACATAGGCAGCTACTTGATTATCTAGTATAGATAATACAGAAATAGATTTTAATTTAGTTTTATAGTTTTTGTCATGTGGATAAACTTCTATCATACTTTTTTGAAACTTTTCAAAATGCTTTAGTCAGTTTTTTGTCACCTTTTCCGTATTGTTGACATGTGACTTATCTTGATAAAATGAAATTGCTTTCTCAATTTTAATACTTTTAGATGTTTTAGACTGTAAACTTGGATTATTTAGAAGTTCACTGGCGGTATTGAATTGTACGGTTTTATTTGAATCCATTGTAGTTTTTAAAAAGAAGCAAAAGTATACTGATCTTTTTATTTATTTATTTATTTATATTTTTTTATTAATGTAAAAGTCTAATTTTTACTAATAGTGACATATTTGTAACACATAATTTTATTTAATCATGAGCGTTAGTAACTGGGAAATATATTAGTTATTTCAGTCTGCCGATATTTCTAATTAGGAAATCAAGCTCTAGAATAATCCACATGTCGATTCTCGTATCTGATTGGCTATTATGTACGTCGTACTGGCTTTTAATCCTGCATTTTAGTATCTTACAAAAAAATTCTTCTAATAATTATTA